AACAGCTGCTTCTGTGCAACATCCCTTGAAAATGTCCCATGGCCTGGGCTAAGATAATGTGTTCCATCCCCTACCCCACTCCAAGTTACACCTGTCCAATATTTGTACTCTGGCCAGGCCTGGATTCCCTCCTTTCTAAACAGCATCCTGTTGACCTTGATGCTCCCTTAGGAGTGCCCTTCTCCTTCGAAGCTGATGGCAGCAATCAACTGACTCTGATGACCTCAGGGAAAGTGTCCCACAGTGTGGCGTGGGCCATTGGAGAAAACGGCATTCCTTTAATTCCTCCACTGTCACAGCAGAACATTGGATTCCGAAGGTATAATGTGACTTGAATGAATAGGTGGCCAGCATGGGCATTACCAGTAAAGATATGGGTGAGGAGGCTTGTAGTGTCAAGCTCTGTCCTTTTATTTCAAGCTGCCTGCATTGTTATATACTTTTAAAAGTGTTGTTAAGGTAAAACATAGGCTTTTAATGGCCTAACATATACAGGATGTCCATTAGTGTCACATATAGTGAAAGCATTTTATTTCATCTTCTTAGAAATTCTACAAAATCTTCTTTTCCCATCTTACAGACTGGGAAAAGTACAGTGTATGGGTTTGAATATTTACTCTTGGTAAAGGTTCCTTGGTACTGACTGGTAAAGTTTCTGGGTTATGGGACAGTCCTTGTTCTCCAGCCCCTTCCCCAATTGCTAGATCCTTATGTCCTTCCTCTGAGCATAAGGAGCCCCTGGTTCCCAGTCTACCCTATATGACCTCTTTGGGTGATGCTGGTCTAGGCAGCCAGCATCCCTCTGTCAGAGTCTCCCCCATCCATTTCCCAGATAAGTCTCTAGTCAGTCTTCTCACCATTTAGGCCTCAGTTGCCTCATCTCTAAAATAAGAGGATTTAGAACCAGCAAGATGGCTTAGAGGTAAGGTGCCTGCTCCCAAGCCTGACAATATGAGGAAAATCCCCTGGAATCCACATGGTGGAAGGAGAGAACTGACTCCTGCAACTTGTTCTCTGACCTTCATGCACACATGCACACACATAAATAAATAATAAAAATACCTTTGAAAAATAAAAAGATTTCTCCCCATTATAGAGAACGTCACTTTGAATACACAAAAATCAGAAGGGGGCTCGTTTTGCCCCCATTCTCCTCCTACAGAGTCCCATACCACTACAAGATGTGGCCCCAGGCCCAGTCAGAAGCCACTTCTGATGGAAGCTTGTCTAAGTCTTAGCCCCAACCATTTTGTGATCATTTCACCTGAGTTTAGTACTGGAGAAATTCCCTGGGGGCTACAGCTTCTGACTCCTCAGTAGCTAAAACAACATGAGCAATGAAAAGTGCCTGATAGTTGATCAAGACCCACCTCAGTAGTGTTGGACAAGGATCTCCTCTGAGTTCTGGTGCCCAAGCAGCCTGGGATGTGAGGCGTTTGGGGATTCCTGAACCACATATGCAGGGGCCTCTCCCTGGCCAGGATCTGGGATGAGGGGTATTTTACTTACTGGGTGGAGCAGTAGAATTGAGTCATATTTCTTTATTGCCCTACAACCTATTTCATAGTCAAGTAAAGAAAAATGGCCAGAGTCCCATTATAAGCTTCCTCCTATGGAGGGCAGTGGCTTCCATAAGCAGTATTCACTCTGGGATTTGGTGGTCCTGATGTAAACTGCTCTGGTAAAGTCGGGCTCACAATTGCTTTTGTGTTTCTATTTTTGCTGTTTTCCAGCGCTCTAAAGAGAGCAGATGCCATCTCTTCTATTGGCACCTCAGGACTGACGGACATGAAGAAGTTGGCCAAGTGGGCAGCAGAGTCCAAGCTTGACCCCAATGACCCCAACAATGCCCCTTTGATGCAGCTGATCTCGGTAATGTGGCCAGAGATGCATAAGCCATTGTAAACTCAGTGATAATAGACTACTCTGCCCTTGACATGCATCTTTTTTTCATGTTCTGCCACGGTTTAAGAGTGTAAGAGCTGTCAGTGACAGGTTCATATCTCAGCCCTGCCACCTCCCTGGCCATGAGATGCAGATGATCATCAGTGTACTAAGCCCTGTGTGCCCTGTGTACTCACATAGCATTTTATGAGGGCGTAAGCTGCTGTGCATAAGCCTTAGCTGGGTACACAATTTGCAAGCAATATAATTAGCTTATTGTTGGTACTATTACCTGTAACCTCCAAGAAGACCCTAAAGAAAGGCCTCATTATCTGTTCGACAAAGAGAAAATTAAGTTTAGCCTTGAGAGTTACTTGCTCACAACCACACTGCTAAAAATCTGATCCCAGAGCATGTGCTTTTCCTATACACACTGATAGGGTATTTTAAGCAATTTGTCAGGGACTAGAGAGATTGGCTCAGCAGTTAAGAGTACTGGCTGCTCTTCCAGAGGACCCAGGTTCAATTCCCAGCACCCACATGG